CTGGACAAGCATGTGATCCAGAAGATTAAAGGGATCACTTGGACTTGCTCCCCAGTAAGAGCTCTTTCAACATGAGCCACTATTAATCATAACTCGAGGGGAAGATTTCCTTATGTTACCTGTTTTTAACTCGAATTAGGGCAAGTGGGACACCTTACCTTCCTCTTAAAAACAGCTATATTTAAACACTTCCTTTTTGTTTACATGTAATCTGGCTCAGCGGTAAAGAATCCGCCTGCCAATGCAGAAGACTCGGGTTTGATCCCTGGGTCAGGAAGATCCCGTGCAGAAGGAAATGGCAATCCACTCCACTCTTGCCTGGGAAATCCCATGGGTAGAGAAGCCTGGTGGGCTAGTCTGTGGGGTCGCAAAAGAGCCGAACACAGCTAAAGCGACTAAACAACAAATCCTAGATGACATTATCCTTCTGCTGGTCTCTGAACTGCAGAAAGAAAGGGTTTTTTTTTAAAAAAAAAGAGAGAAAGCAGATTGCTCTCCTTCCCTTGGTCTCTAGGTCTGAGTGCTTCCTTAGGAATTTGCTCTGGGTATTTGAAGAGCACCTTGTTCATCCTAGCTCCCATGCCAACATGTGTCAACATACAAATCCTCTCACCCTGCCCCACTAGAGGTGAGGTCATCACCTGCAACTGGGAGGTCACTTGCTGAAGGTCATACAGTGGCAGAGTGGGGGGAGCTCTGTCAATCTATCCATCTAATCTCTCCTTCTTCTCTGATACGTGTATGTGTAAGACACAGACACATCTCTTATGTATCTATGGATGGTTTCCTGTTGTCATTTCCTGGTTACTGACTCTCAGGCACAGTAATAATCAGCAAATGATCTGCGCCACAAGCTAAAAAATACTTCATGGCCCTGAGGAAAGGATGGGGCCTAAGTCACTAGTTTACCTGCCAGTATCATTAATAATTACTGATGATTTGCTCTATTATGAAACACGGAACTGACCAACTCAAACAGAGTAGGATTTAAAATCTTCAGGCTGAGATGCACTCTACATTCAGCTCCAGACTCAGCAATGATGGGCCGGACACCTGCCGAAAATCCATACTCATGTGGTTCCTAGGACAGCTTTGCTCTGTCTTGCCCAGAGAGGGGAGAATAAAGACCAGGTGACTATCAGGCACTGCTGCAGGTAGAAGAGCTGGGAAGAGCAGGCTGAGGGACTGAGGACACCCTCCGAATGCCACACAGCTCACCAGAAGCACTAACTGTAGGTCAGACGGAGGCTGCACTGGCTAGGGTTATGGATGACATGGAGGGGCTTCATTGGCCATTGAAACCAGGATCTGGCAGGAGTGGGACAGAGCTGCCACCCCTTGACCTTAGCCAGTGGGGGTGACCTGGCCCCCACTCTGACCACTTCCCCTTCCTTCTGAGTCTGGAAGGCCCAGCCCCTACTCTTGTCCCCTAAGGCTTTCCCTGACCACTCAACAGGAAAGTTGCTCTCTTTGGATTCCTACAGTGGTTATACTCTGCACATTTGGCCATTAATCATATGATGTTCTCCCTGGCTCTCTTTGGTTCATTCAGTCATTCCACAAATATCTGCTAAACAACTGCCCTGTGCCAAGCACTGACGGGGTGGCCGGGGACCCTGGAGTGGGTAGGAGGTGGATTTCTGCCTTCGTGAAGCTCACAGGCTGGCGGGGGAAGCAGAGGGAGAAGCAGGTGAATTATGCAGAGTTATAAACTGGGTAAGTGCTATGAAGAAAACACACAGAATGCCAAGACAGAGACTGTGGGGCAGGGAAACCTCACAGAAGATCTCTCTGGGGAGCTGACATTTAACTACTACGAACTTCTAAATGTCCATTTGCACTTTGCAGCTCCCAACAGGCTGGAGGGCAGGGGAAGCAGACCCTCACGAGGGGCACTCTTGTAGCTCAGTTTGTGCTCTGGGACAAGAATGTGACTCTAAGGACTGCTTTGGTGAGTAAGTGCCCCCTCTGACAAGCCCCTTGAGTGATCCGGCGATGGCAGCAACAACAAAGCCCAAAGCCAGCAGTCCCAGGAAGCATTTGACCCAACAGACCTGTCTCTGGCTCAGAGCACAGAGCCCAGACCAAGGAGGTCGACGAAACAGGTGTGCTGGATGCCTGAACAAACGGCCAGCTTCCAGACACCTGGCCCACTGCCAGGAGGCCTGGAGGCTGGCATGACCTGTCTGAAGGGCAACTTGGCAAAATCTGTCAAAACATACAATGCTTACGCCCTCTGACCCAGTAAATCCCATCACCTGGAATCTATCCTAGAAAATACTTGCATGTGTGTGCAACAGTATGTGAGGAAATACACAGGGTTCTTCCATTTATAACACCAAATCAACAGAAGCAACGTCGATGTCCATCAGTAGTGGCCCACCACAGAAATCATAGGACATCCTGCCACACAATGGGTATCACGGAGCCGTTTAAAAAAAAAGTGATCTCAAAGTAAAATTATTAAGTGGAAAAACAGCCAGTTAAAGAACAGTACTTAGCGTGGGATGTCTTTATGTTGGCATGTGGACTTTGCAGCTGTATGTTAACACACAGAGGAAGCCTGCAAAGACACACACCAAACTGATTCTAAAAATCACATCTGCCACAGGGCAAGAAGAGACGCAGGCTTTACTTTACATCTCATATGCTTCTATTTTGTCGTCTTTTCCCCAGCAGTAATGAATTCACTCATATGATTAAAAATGCATCTTAAAGGTTTTTTTTTTTTTTTAAAGATAAAGTTCAATGCCAAGAGATCAATCTAGTGTTTCTCCATAGCTCAGCCTCGAACACTCTCCATCCAATTGGCCTTGGCTCCTACCTCTAACCACTTTCTCCTTTTTCCAACAATTCAGTTTCTCCTGGCTTTGTGGCACCTGGTGACTTGTAGACATTTCCCATAACATTTTCAGACACCATTTTCTCATTAAGACAGCCACAGGACAGAAAGCTGTTATCTGGAAAGTTCCATGGATACTTCATAACCACTGCAACTGTATTCCTGACCCACAGTGACCTGATGACCTGACAACAAGCTGTGGACTATTTCAGTGGGGCTTGCCAAGTCCCCCAGAGGCCCAGGGCAGGCCCCATGCCAGTCATCACTTTCAAAGGAAAAGGAAGGGGATTTTAGCAAGACAGAAGAACCAGAACAACTTTTTGGATTTCTTCAAGGTACTTCAAGAAGTTTGCAGCCTGCAGATTTCTGTTTGCATGGACAGAGGCAGGAGGTGCTGAGTATCCACCACCAGTAACCTGTGTGTGTGACAGGCCGAACAGATCCCCTGGCTTGCTCCCATCCAGTCTACAGAGCTCTCCATCTCTCTTCCTGCTGTGCACAAACTAAGATAAATAGCCAGGCTGGACATGAGTTGTCCAAAAACGTTCATGCAGGAAATACCAGACCCATCACTCATTGCGAGAGCCCTAACTCCCTTCTTATTTCCCAGCAGCTAACCTTGGAGGCAAAAAGTCTCCGTGGGGATTATTCACTGGCATCACTGGTCTCTCTATCGAGCTGTGCTTCCCATTAGTCCATTATGCACAGGAAATGCCAGGCTGTGCCAATGGCAATTGAAATGGTGAACAGCACAAGTGATTCTCGTAAGACCTCGACAATTAGGACACAGCTGACCTGAGGGAACACAGCATGGTGAACGAGGGGCCCTCAGAGAAGTGTGCTAGACAACCTGCAACAGAATCGTTGGAGAACTTGTTAAAAATACAAAATCCAAGGACTTCCCTCGTGGTCCGGTGGCTAAGACTCCAATGCAAGGGGCCTAGGTTCGATCCCTGATCAGGGAACTAGATCCCGAGTGCCACAACTAAAGATCCCAGTGCAGCCAAATAAAGAAATATTAAAAAAAAAAAAAAAATCCAATCAATACCTCTGGGAGTGGGATCAGGGAATCTGCTTTAAAAAAAAATCAAAGCCATGTAACTGTGACAGCTGTAAGATAACCACAGGACTTAAAAACACCTTAACAAGGAATCTGCATTTTTTAACAAGCTTCGTCCAATGATCCTGATGCAGAGAACCACCGCTCCATGGCCCCAAGGGAGAGGCTGTCCCCGGGCTGGAGGAAGGCCGGAGCTCCATGCTGGTCTCTCTCATTTTAGGATGCCTCTCGGCCTCCTCTCTGGCTAAATTACTTCTCTCCTAAGGACTCTGCCTTTGCTCCCGCTGCTCCAAAGTCCGCAAAGTCTCCCCTCCCCACTCTCACAAACTGCTCTCACTCTGGGGGCCGCAGTCCAGGAAGTCATGGAAAGCAGAGTGTAGGGGAAGAAGCAAACTAGCCAAGATGGTGTGGTCAGGCTCTCTCACCCCACGGTCTCTCGTTCTTGCCCCACGTTTTGTAAATAATGATGTAACAGCTGAGATCACTTAGAGCCCTGCTCATGTGCATCACGAGGTACTTGTGTGGCCATAGGCTACTTCTGTTCTGTAAGTACATATAAGCTCCACCTGGAAAGCCACTGGGCTATGTGGTGTTATGGCTGCTTCTGCATCTTCTGCGCCAGCCAGAAGAGAATAAATGTGTCTGCAGTTCCTACAGCTCCTCGTGTCTTCTTCCAGCCTTTTAGCTTGCACCTTGCCTACCCTGGGTTCAACGAATAGTGCGCACAGTGAGATACAGCAAGACAACTGGTGCTGTGAGCAGGATCAGCAATACACCAAGCCTTCCCCAAACTTGGTTCTTGGCTCCTCCAATGACCCTGGGCAATAGACAACCTCTGTGAGCCTTCGTTCCCATTTGTAAAGTAGGGATCACAGTCTCACAGGCTTGCTGCGAGAATTCAATGAAATATACGTTAGCCAAGTTCAGTTTCCCCCACTGCTCTTATTGCCCTACCTTCTCTACAGACCCTCAAGCTACTTGAGGGGAAGAAGTGCCCCTCATTCACGTCCAAACACCTGCTGGCAGAACCCAGGGCCCAGGTGGAATGTTTGAGGCTGCTAAGTGAATCCCTTTCACAGGGCTGTCCTTGACTCTTACCTGCCCAATGTTGAAGGTCAGTGTGATGGCATAAAAGAAGTTGGAGTTGGCACTTCCTGCATAAATCCAGAGATGCCACAGGACAGGGAAGAGCAGGGAGCAGATGATGATGATGCAGGCGAGGACAAATATGTTTCGCAGAACTGCAAAGAAGATGGTCACCATTAACAGGACTACAAAGACACATGGTTACAGTTAGCCTGGAGCTGACTCTCTCTGGGTGTCAGCAAGACTTCAGCAAGACTCTCCCTTGTGGTGATGGTCCCGCAGCACAGAGAGGCCCAGGAAAAGCTTGGTGGAGCTCAAAGGCAGAACGCCTCTGCTTCCCCACCCCAACACACACACACACACACACACACACACACACACACACACGACGCAACCTCAGACCCTTGGCAATGGCTCCTTCCACCCAAAGCTGGTGGGAGGTACTAGACTTGGACTCTACCTCCGACTCCGGGCTCAGCTGGCTACAGTCAGTAATGCCATGAATGCCTCTGGGCACTGCAAGGGGCGGGGAAACTTCAGCAAGACACTGCCCTTAAACCCCCAATCCCAGGGTGTCCATGAGTAACTCCTCTCCTGGCCCCAAGCAGTGTGCTTTCTGACCTCTGTGGATCATAGATACGAATGGCAGCACGAACCCCTCAGTGTCTCTAGGGTGCCACAGCTCAGGTCTTAGGAAACACATTTTCCACTCTCCGCAGTTCATATCTTAGGTCTCCTGCCTTGCTTTTCAAATGTCCCTCACTCTTCCTTAGATGATCTCTTTTTTTCTACCCTCCCTCTTTACCATGATCTCCCCACTTCCTGAGGGAACGTAGAATCTCACCAGGGAGAAGCTCCCCCGAAGCCCCTGGGAGGACCGGCTACACAGAGTGGTCTATGGGCAGGCTGGCAGGCAGAGTTCCACTGGGGGAAAGGCAGCCTGATAGTGGGGCACAGACCTCAGAAAGACCTTGGTTAAAATTCCTAGGGACTTTCCTGGTGGTCCAGTGGTTAAGAATATGCCCTGCAATTCGGGTTCACTCCACAGTCGGGGAACTAGGATCCCACATGCCACAGAGCAACCAAGCCCTCGCACTGCTTTTAGAAGCCCCCCATGAAGATCTGGCAAGCGTGAAGAACTGGCAAGCTGCAGTGAGACCCGATGAAGCCAAATAAATAACTTAAAAAAAAATTTCTGCTCTTCCAGCAAGTTTCTCAGAACTTCAGCTTCCACATCTCTAAAATAGGGCTAAAATGCCTACTTCATGGAGTGTTCCATGAATTAAACAAGTTGTGGAAAAGCTAGCAAGGATGTATTACCGTGTTTTCTATTGCCATGGTAACAAATGATCACAAACTTAGTGGCTTAAACAATATAATGCATTGTCTTACAGTCCGGGAGGACGGAAGTCCACTGGCTCTAGGGGAGAATCCACTTGCTGGCCTTTGCAGCACTGGGAGGCTGCCGGCACTCCCGGCTCAGGACTCCCATCTTCAACCAACAATGTCGGATTGAGTCCTTCTCATGTCATATCATTACGGCCTCCTCTTCTGCCTCCCTCTTCCACTTTTTTTTTAAAACAGACTTTAGTTTTTAGAGCAGTTTTAGGTTCACAGCAAAGCTGAGTGGTACATAGAGACTGCCCATGAACCCTCCTGCCTCTACTTATGCTCTTAAGGGCACTTGTGATTACACTGGGCCCACCTGGATAATCTAATATACTCTCCCCATCTGAAGGCCATCTGTCAGGTGATCTAGTCACAGGCACTGGGGATGATGAGGTGACATATTTGTCGGCAGCAAGGAGGGGGCGTTATTCTGCCTAACACAGGGGTCTCCAGACTCTGGGATCTAATGCCTGATAAGCTGAGGTGGAGCTGATATAATAGAAATGAAGTGCACAATAATGTAATGCATTATTATATACAATATATAATTATATATAACATATATTTATATAATATATAATTTATATATTCTATATTACATATAGAATATATATTATATATTTTATGTATTCTATCTATATTTATATATTATATATTTATATATATTTATAATATATATATCCTATATTATATAACCCAAACCATCTCTCCCCACCCCATCTATGGAAATTATACATAACATATATTTATATAATATGTAATGTATATATTTATATTACATATATAACATATATTATATATAACATATTATATATGTTATATATAACATATATTATATATAATGTTATATATAACATATATTATATATAATATATGTTATATATATATTATATAATCCAAACCATCTCTCCCCACCCCATCTATGGAAAACTTGTCTTCCATGAAACCAGTCCCTAGTGCCAAAAAGGTTGGGGGCCACTGACCTACCATTGTGATTTTTTTCCCTCTTCTTAATTCAACAGGGGATGTCTGACAGTAGGATTATATATGCTACTTTTGTTTCTTTATATTTTATTGCATTTTTAAATAAAATAATAAATATTATTTAAAATAAATTAATTAGAAGAATACCTTAAAAAAAAAACTGAGCGATTAATAAAAGCTTAGGTCTGATTCTCAGCAGGCACTCAGTCAATAGAGGTTCCCCTCCCCTCTCTGATCCTGACCTTCAGGAAATCCCTTCTCCAAAGTCAGAGTTCAGAGATATTTAAGAGATGGGGAAACTCCTGAACCTTAAGGCCTCTTATCTCAGCTGTACAACGACTTGGCTGAAATGCTATACTGGGGGTTCAGGCATTGGAAAGGGGATTGTATTACAGTCAAGGTTCTCAATTCCGGTTGTAAAATGAACTCACCTGGGGAGCCCCACCCACACTACGTGAATCAGCCCATAGGGGTGGGATCCAGGCATCCATATTGGTTTCTAAAAGCATCCCTGGTGATTCCAATATGCAGCCAAAGCTGTGAACCACTGGGTCACAGTGGCAGACCTTTGCCCAGTAAGAGGCCCATGCTGGTCTGCAGCAAAGACTTCGCTGGTCAGTGTCACAGTGAGAATAACCAGGCCAAGGTAGTTCAAAGATCTTGTTAGAGCTGAAGGTTTTCAACTTAAGCTTCATTCTTTATTGAGTAACTACAGGTGTCTTGCTGCTGTTGTTAGAAAGTCCTTTCTTTTATAAAATTGGGACAGATGGCCAGTAGTTGACTGTTTTCGTGCCTTCAGTAAAATAAAAAGTTGGGAACTCTGTCACCAGGATTTTTTTGAAATGCTAGTGGTCCCTGAAATCCCATGATTTGGAAACACTGGCTTGGAGGGCCTGCAAGGTGCTCTCTTCTGATCTGAAATTTCCACACTTCTGGGTTTTCAAAGCTGAGAGGTGAAAGCCCTGACTCAAGCCTCTCTGAGAACTCTCAGAGGCCTCAGTCTTGCTCCCAGAAACAGAAGTCTGAGGAGAAAGATGTGTACACTGAGAGTTATTATTAAACAAAGTTACAACCTCAAGAAAAAGAGATGAAGTGAGTGACGGTCACTCAGTTGTGTCCGACTCTCTGTGATCCCATGGACTATACAGTCTATGGAATTCTCCAGGCCAGAATACTGGAGTGGGAAGCCTTTCCCTTCTCCAGGGGATCTTCCCAACACAGGGATTGAACCCAGGTGTCCAGCCTTGCAGGCGAATTCTTTAGCAGCTGAGCCACAAGTGAAGCCCAGGACACGTCTATTTACCATTCCTCCACTTCATCACTATTTACATACTTTTCTCAATGGTTCTTTCTTTAAAAAACAAAACATTCCTAACATTTTCAGAGGTTTTTTTTTTTTTTTTAATTTAAAAAAAAAAATTATTCATTTTTCTGCATTGGGTCTTCACTGCAGCAAATAGGCTTCTCTCTAGTTGAGGTGCTTGGGTTCAGTAGGCCTGAGGTATATGGATCCTAGTTCTCCTACCAAGGATCAAACCTCTGTCCCTTGAACTGGAAGCTGGATTCTTAGCTAGTGGGTCACTAGGGAAGTCCTTCAGTGGTTCTTTCTGATTTCCGGGTAATTATATTTTGCTGAAAAGAATACACAGTATTCCTAAAATAAAACTCCTGTGGTCTGGCAGTCCAGGTGGGTCTTTGCTTTCCAGTCACTCTGTATTTTAGAGTCGGTGACAAGGAGGTGACCAAGTGCAGAGACTGAGACAGGGTCACAGGCACCTCCTGGGAGCAATCACAAAAAGCTCTGACGATGCTTTCCTTGTGCCCTGAGGAACTGTCACCACATCCAACTGGCTTCTGGCCTGTGGTGACCTTTGCAGGACTGCGGAGCTGCTACTCACTCTTGCTGGCTGACTGGCCTGAGGATTCCAGCTATACGCCAGAGCAGATGGAGCCAGGGACCTGGGGCACAGGACGGCCTGTTCCAGCACCACAATGTTTCGGAGATGTCAGAGGTGACCAGGTGACCCTTCATCCGCCGTGCTGGGCCAGATGGAATCAGATTTCCCACCAAGTTCCCTGGGTGACTTCCTCAGATCTCTGGCTCCATTGCTGACAAACTGAAACTTCATGCAAGTTACTTTCCCTCTCTGAGTCTCAGGCATTGAGAAATAAAATTCTACTGGAAGAATCCAGTCCCATCGGGAGGGGCACAGAAGGGATTTAGGGACTTTAAAGGTCATGGTGCTGTTTCTTTTCTTAAACTAGGTGCTGGGCACATGGAAATTTATTGTATTTTTTTTTAATAATGAGTGCATATTTTAAAATCAATATTCCTTTATCTGTATATAATAGTTAATACAAAAAAAGAAAAAATGAAGGACACACACACACACACACACACACACACACACACACACACAAAATCCAGTCCTTTGGAAACTGGCTCTTTGAGCTTGACCACTGCAGGCTGGCACGGGCCCTGCCAGCAGGCTGTTCCCTAACACCGCGCTTGTGAGTCTGTCTGACTCACCCTGGCCCCAAGCTCCGCAGAGTCCCAGCATCTGGGACCTGCACTCGGGGAAGGGCCCATGTGCCTCTCCTCCCCACTGAGCAGAACACGAAAACGAAACGGCGAATGTGCGAGCAGGCATGCTGACACGGGTAACTCTCATCTAAACTGAATTCTTAAACACATGAGAAGTCTGAGTATATTCAGCCTAGGTATAAAGACCTCACAAAGTGTCCACTCGCACGTCCACACGACCAGGCTAAAGATGCCCTGGACAAACAGAATGACTCATACTTGTCTTGCCCCAAACAGACACGCCAAGTCTGAGCGTTCTCTGCTGCAGGAGCTGCTCCTGGCAGCCAACGCTGTCTGCGGGCCCTTCAGACAAGCTCAACTTGCCCAGTGAGCCAGCAACAGCATTTATTAGCTCATCCAGGTTTCCGGAAACCCCATCCTTATTTTTTGTGTCTCATCACCCCAGAGGGCATAAAATAGTTCAAGTTTTGAAAAATATGTTTATTTCAATGACTCTGAGTGGCTCTGGTTATCAAGCCTGAAGCTTTGATCATGAAACTATGCAGGAGACCTCCCTGTGTAAATAATACTACTAATAATAACAGTGGGGCTATTTACATTTATTCTTTCTCAGACCTCAAACACCCCTGAAAGATACTCTGACAGATGGAAAAACGGGAGACTCAGAAAGGTTAAACCACTTGCTAGTAATGGGAAAGCCAGAATTCAGACTCAAGACTGTCTGGCTCCAGACTCTGTTTAGCAATATGGGATGAAAGATCTCACCTGAGGGAGACACCCTCTGTGGGAGAGACTGCCAGAGCAATTCCATCTTAGGGGAAATGTCCCCCAGACTCACCCCATCACAAACTGGGATATGTTCACATGTCCTGTGCCTTTGGGACTTGCCAACGGGCCCCAGGCTGACTCTGAGAGCCCTCTACTGGGTGACTCTTATCTGTTCAATGAGGATGCCACGAGCAGATGCTACTTCCTGCTTCCGATCTGCTCAACTGGTCACTGCCCCACCTGGAGGAGCAGCCCTACTTGTTCTGCCCACTCACCTGTTTACCTTTGCTAAGAGGCCCACTCCTACAGACAGGTTTCTCTCTAGCAGCTGGTCAGTTTCACTTCCCAGTTGATACTCAGCAGCCCCAAAACAACAGCAAAGACATTTCCTCTGAAGTCTGTCCTCCCCAGGTTTACTGACACCTTGCTGTGCAAGGAAAGTTCTACAGCTCCCTTCCCATTTTAGAGAATCAGATGGTGCTGGGCCACTGGCACTGCTTCTTTATTAGGGAAGTCCAAAAGTCCCTTCCACAGAGATTGGGACTGACATATACACAACACTACCATATATAAAATAGATAACTAATAAGGACCTATTGTATAGCACAGGGAGCTCTCTAATAGCCTGTATGGGGAAAGAATCCAAAAAAGGAGTGTATGTATGTACATATATAATTGATCCACTTTGCTACATACCTGAAACTAACACATTATAAATCAACTAATCTCCAATAAAAACTATTAAAAAAAAAAACCCATCCACAAACATTTGAACATTTGTTATGTTGTTCTGTGTGTCATCAGGTGTAATCCTGGATGCTGGGGACAGAGGTGAGTGAGTCATGAGGCTACTCTTAGGGAGCCCACAAACAGTGCAAAGAACCCAGAGGACACAGAGCCTGACTGAGGGCAACAGCAGGAAATGCTAAAAAGAACAACTAGATCAGCACTAGGCTGACTTCAGAGGAAGAGCTTGAATGGGTCCTCACAGCAGGCAGGAAGTCTATGGTTGCCCGTTTGTTGTGTATGGTACAGCATAGGGAAAATGGTTCAAAGCCAATGAATGTGTCAGAGCCACACTGTCCAGCATGACAGCCACTAGCCATGTGTGGCTTCTTTAAATTAGATTAAAATTTCAGCTCCCCAGTCACACTCGTGGCTACTCTATTGGACTGGGCAAATACAGGGCATGTCTATCATCACAGAAAGCCCTACTGGGTAGTGCTGGCTAGAGGCTCCTGCATTTGGATGCCAATGCCAGCCCTTCTACTTACCAGTCTTGCGCCCTTGAACAAGCGACTCTATCTTTCTGTACCTTAAGTTTTCTCATCTGCAAACGGGGATACTTTTCCTCAAAGTCTAGTGTGAAGATAAAATGAGCTGATGCACATAACATTCTTAGAACCACAGCGACCAGGTATACAGTCAGTGCTCAATAAATGCTGGTTCTTTTTTTATTATTACCACTTGTGTGTAGCACCGAGGGGCAGATATTGTGCTTCATGTCACTGCTGGCACAGCAGGTACCCAAAAAAATGCCTGTTCATTCCTAACCACCCCCACCCCCTACCGACTGTTTTCATCCAGGGCGAGGTGACACAAACCTGTGCTAGAGGGTGCAAGGTGGGGGTACTCACATCTGTAGAGATGGTTCCACACGGGGAAGAAGGCCATGTAGAGGGCCACATCCCCCACCGTCGGGTAGGACTTGAAGATGGCGATGATGGCAATCTGGATGAACATGAAGAAGATAGGGTGCTCCCTGGGGCAAGATGGGGCAGAGAGAGAGAGAGGGAGGTCAGTCAGGGACCAGGCCCACCCCAGAGCCTCCTCATCCCAGCCCTGAAACCCAAATACACTCTCTAGGGGACTTTACACAGGGCAGGCTCCACCACCCACAAAACACAGGGCTAGGCCCAGCAGGAAGGCAAAAAACTGCAGGGACCCAAAGATGCCCACAGGTAGTGAGAAGAACCCAGCCCACACTAGAGACAGCCCACAGAGACACTTCCCATCAACCCCCACCCCCTGCAGCTCCAGGCCTTCCCCCAGGAGCCCAGAGGAGGAAAACAAATGAAGTCAGCAGCCTCTATCACTGGGTTTAAATGACTGCTTGTCAGAGTAATTAGACAGCACCCTTGCCAGAGGCCCCTGACATTGGACCCGGGCAGGAAGTACCTCCTGGCCGATGCTTGTTTTCTCTGACAACAGGGTCAGTGGGGACTACAGATCTCTAGCTGTGATGAGCTCCTTTCCTGCAACAGCTGCATGCGGCTTTCTGCTCTTAAGGGTTGGAACTGGGGGCTTTCCTGGTGGTCCAGTGCAAAGGCTCTGTGCTCCCAATGTGGGGGCCTGGGTTTGACCTCTGGCCAGGAAACTAGATCCCACAGCCACAACTAAGAGTTTGCAGGCCGCAACTAAGACCTAATGCAGTCAAATAAATAAAAATGAACTTTAATGGGGGAGGGAGTGGCTGGAACTGGAGTTCTAGTCACCTTAAACTAGTAAGACTGGCTGCCATTTCCCGAGCGTCCACTTGTGCTCAGTTCTGTGCTAGGCATCTTTCCCTGCATCCTTACACATGCTCCTCACTACCTCCCACCTGGAAGGAGGCAATGCTGTCGCTGTACTTTGCGGATGAGGAAATCAGGTTCAGAGAACGTAAGAGAGTTTTAAAGTGATAGAGTGGCTTGTCTTCAGAGCACCTAAGCACCGCCAGTGCTGTTCTCCCGAGTGCCCAGCAAGACCACAGCTCTGATCAGGAAGGCTGCGTCAGCCTCCAGTGCTCCTCCAAGAGCTGACTGAGTGCAGAAGAGAATCTGCCAGGAAGAAGCCAGATGTGTACCCTCCTCAGGTCTGAACAATGTGCACATGGCCTACTTCTGCACAGGACCCAGAAGGGTGTCTTCAGGTTAATGCCCAGCTCAGGAGGGTGTCTTCAGGTTAATGGCATCCTTGCCTTGTAGGTCAAAGGTCAGGTCACTCAGTGGATGTAAATCTGAGATGTGGAGACAAATTTGTACACACCCAAATACGACTAGGAGGCAAATGACTCAGAAACTCAGCTAAAAGGTTTCTGAGTCAAAGTTTCTGACTGCAAACTCACACAGTCCTGTAATCTCTAGGAAGGGTCTGACTATCTCAGTGAGCATTTTCCTAAGGCTCATCCGAGTCATTGGTTTGGGCTTTCTAGGTAGCTGGTAACAGCTGCACCATTCCCAGGAAAAGGCTAGCAACAAGGTGGTACCAAAAAACATGGTGAATGTATGGCTGAGTCCCTTTGCTGTTCACCTGAAACTATCGCAAAACTGTTAATTGGCTCTACTCCAATACCAAATTAAAAAGTTTTTTTTTTTTTTTTTTAAACCCACACAACATTGAGGACTTCCCTGGTGGCTCAGTGGTAAGGAATTCACCTGCCAACACAGGGGACAGGGGTTCAATCCCTTGTCTAAAATGATTCCACATGCCGCGGAGCACCTAAGCCCGTGCAACCCAACTACTGAGTCCACACTCTAAAGCCAGAGAGCCGCAACTACTGGGCCTGCTAGCCACAACTACTGAAGCCCACGTGCCTAGAGCCTGTGCTCCGCAACACGGAGGCCACTGCAATGACAAGCCAGCGCATCACAACTGGAGTGTAGCCCCTGCTCGCCACAAGTAAAGAAAAGCCTTAAAAAAAAAAGTCTGTACAGCAACAGAGACCCAGGAGAGCCAAAAATAATAAATAAGTAAAGATATAAAAACAAATATGGACACCAGAACCTCCTGCAAGAGCCCCTGGGGAGCGGTGACTGGAGGCCCTGCTCTCGCAAAGCTGGCACTGCAGGGGCTGGAGTGGAACTCTGTATCCAGACACAGGAGGGCAGCCAAGAGGGAGGTCAGGTATCTTCATCCCTTCTATTCCCACAGCTCTGTGGCCCTTGGTGGGGGTTGCAGGGAGGGTGTCACAAGATGGTGGTGGTCCCCAGGAGCTATCTGTGGCCTATCCGTGGCCTTTCACATGCCAACAATAGAAGGTGCTGGAGAACAGGCTACACAGAGTTGAGGAAAGGTGCGTCGGGTTCCCTGCTTCTTTCAGCCTAGACCCAGGCCTGACCAGAACAGGGGTAGGACATATGGACCACAGACATCTGGAGAGCCTGGCTGAGAAAGGCTGCCAGAATTCTGGAGCCTGCCAGGCCAAGAAAGAAGGCTTTTTCTGTCAGATGCCAGGCCAAGGCTATGTCATAAGAAGGGAACATCAGCTCTGAGCTTTACAGAAAGGGAACTGTTTGCCTTGGTTCACTGGCCATGGAGAATAAATGGAAGGTCAGAGGAATGAACTCAAGCTCTTGAAATCTAAATCCAGCCCTTCTACCTCCCTGGACCACCCAGCTGTATCTATGCTGATTGGTGCCTGTTTGCCCCTCTCTGAAGCTAGGATAACAGAACCATTTCTGGGAGCTATTTAATACTATATGTGATCTCTCTCAGGAGCTTGGCAAGGTGCAGAGGTCTGAGCATAAATTCTGGAGCCAAACAAACCTGGTAACCCCAGCTCCACTGCTAACTGGCTATGTGACTCTGGGAAAATCGTTTCACCTCTCTGAATAGCAATTTCCTCGATTAGCAAACGGAAATGACAGTAACATAACGCCTACCTCCAAGAGTTGCTGGAAAGGTTAGGCACGAATATAACTCAAAAAGGTGGGCTGGACAACACATGTTAGCTCTCTTACTCTGCAGAAGAGTATGCATAGGCAATCCATTTGAGGGAGGTTGGTCAGAGCTTCAGGTGACCAGCCCCCCAACTAACACCTCCTGAGTCCCTTTGGGCAAACTATCACTGGGACGCAGCTAGAGGGCTCCCAGCAAGATCCTCTTTTTCCAAGGATATCATCCCCACCTCAACCCTGCTCTTGTCTAAAACAGTGACTGGGGAGGTGGGAGGGAGGTTCAATAGTGAGGGCACATGTATATACCTATGGCTGATTCATGCTGATGTATGGCAGAAACCAACACAATATCATAAAGCAAAGATCTTTCAATTAAAATATATTTTTTAAAAATGAAAAAATAATAAGTTGTGATATATACACACACAAACACACAAATCAGTGACTAGGCTCAGCAGCAATGTGGGTTCAAGTACCCCAAAGTGAGGCCAGGGGGCATATGTGGCTCCAAAGCACTGCCCCTATAGCTGGCACCTCATGTGTCACCCTCCTGCAGTGTACAGTCACTGAAGCAACTCAGGGTGAGGTTCCCTGGGCATAAATGCCTCAAACCCAATAGCAGATGCTCCGAGTGAGAAGGACATCTATAAAGCTACCAATGACTCTGGGAACAAAAACCCAGTAGGTCCAACCACTTACTTCAGCTTTATAGCTAAGGGGATGGTGTAGAAGAAGACGTTGATCTGAAACACACACACAAAGAAGAGGCTGAAGTGCTCAAACATCTCTGCAAAAAAGTACCAGAAGAGACCAATGTTCGGGGTGAGATCTGGAACAGAAAGTCTGGAATGAAGAAAACAAAGGGAGAGAAAAAACAGAGCCAAGTTAGAAACAACCTGCTTTGACCTGCTTTTCTCCTGAAGGTTTTGGTCACTGTTGGGCAGTCAAGGAAGACTCTGTCTCCATGGAGATCAGGATGTGAGGGGCTCTCTGGGCACCCCGGATATAGGTAATTAACAAAAACAGGGGCAGAGACCCAGAGAAAAATAACCCATAAAAAGGATCACCTGAGCCAAATTCTGGCATGCATCAGAGATCTGAAACAAGGCAGGGATTCATGCTCGAAATCAAAAGACCAGCCCCTTCTTTTCCTGCCCCAGATATGTATGCTCAAAACCAGGAGATACCGAGCACTGTTGCAAAAGAGGAATGGGTTTGAAATAGGTTCCTGTAACCTATTTTGAGCATTCTAAGGATTTGTCTAGGGGAAAATCTCAAAGATCCTGTTACTGCCCATTCTTTCTCCAGATGCATACAGTAGGAGCCAGAAGACTGAGTGCCTCACACAGAAGTGAGACTTCCAGGGGTCCAAGGAACCACTGCCAGGTTCTAGCAATGATCCCAGACCTTGCTGGAGAAATGGGGTTTAACTGGAAAACTTTTTGTCTGGTGATATCAGATAAAGATTGGTTACAATTCTGGCTGTTCTAAAAATCTTACATAACATTAAAAATATACATATGGGGTTAAAACAGATGTCAGTTCAGTTTTAAAAGCACAAGGGAAGCATGGAAAGGAAGATAGAGGCCATGGTTCATGGTCAGCTTTCAGACAAGACCATGGTTCACGGTCAGATTTCACTGAAGAAGGCCTCCACCCAGGCAAGCTTTGCTTCTTGTTGTAACTATATTTCCTTTTCTGTGAAATGAGGTAAAGAACACAATCTGTGCACCAGCAGAAAATTAGGAAAAGTTTTTCGTCAGGCATTACAAACTCTTATAGGAGGCAGAGCATGAGAAGCTGAAGGTTATTAAGTCACTATATTAGGCTCAGCCAGGATTTAACACAAATAAGCAGCCCAGAATCCTAAAGGGAAGCCAGCCACAGACCCCCTTCCCACCCTGGTGGGGTTAAGTGTCCATGTCCCTCTGGGCTGTGAGTTCCTTCAGGCCTGAGCTGGTATCCTCCTCAGCAGACCACAGAGAGGATATCTGGAAACATCTGCAGAATTCATCTTGCAAACCCACTTTGATTTTCTCTATACGTTTGACATATGGAATGTGTTAAGTCACTCAGTCATGTCCAACTCTCTGTGACCCCATGGACTGCAGCCCACCCCTCCTCTGTCCATGGAATTCTCCAGGCAAGAATATTGGAGTGGTATTCTTCTTCTCCAGGGGATCTTCCCGATCCAGGGATCAAACCTAGGTCTCCTACTTTGCAGGTGGATTCTTTACCATCTGAGCCACCAGGGAAGTCCCCTTACATATAGAAGGTGTCTTTATTTAAAACTGTTGGAGACCCTTTTGCAATAGAGGAATAAATACATCCCTTCCTGTTTGGGACTGAATCAAAACCTTCTAGTTCGAGGCTGATAAGTGCTTTGGATAGTCCCAGAGAGTGTTCTTTAATTGACTTAGATCAAACAAGTGGTTCTTGAAGTGTGTTCCTCAGATTGGCAGCATCGTACCACTTGAAAATTTATATATATAGATACGCAAATTCTGGGGTCCTAATGAGAGGGTAACAGGCAGGAAGGCCAGGGGTCTCCAAAGAGAGGAAATAGGCTGCAAGTGTCAGACATGTTTTTATTTTTCTCTTAAGCAGCAGGAGAAAGCAAACTACAAGTGTCAGCTTTTTTTCCCTTCTCTATACAAAATTAAAAGGAAGTTTCTCTTAAAATTCTGTGTTGCCATAACGACACCTGGTTCCACCAGAACTTAACTTCTCTCAAACCTTGAGCTAACCTGCATTTTTCTTATGGAAATGTTTTTCTTAAGCTATGTTAATGACCTATGTATTTACCCTAGACTCTGTCTTCAAGTTGGCTCCGCCTAACACTCAGAACTTGACAAACCAGTATGTTTTACTCATAAAATTGTTCTCCTAATCTATGTTAATGAATCTATATATTTACTTGGAAAACTGCCTTTCTTCAAGATGCATGCCAATCATTCTATGGCCCGGGATGACTCACCTGCTGCCAATGTTATCTCAAAATGGATGTTGTGGGTGAGGGGCTTGGTGCCACTCTGAGTTTTGAGATATCTCCTTTCTCTAATTAACAGCTTGCTGCTAGGTACCTAACATCCTGCTAAAGGCTAGCAGGGGAGCACTCTTTCTGCCCCCTTCTGACGTCTATGCCAGAAGCTTTCTCTATCTCTTTTATACTTTAATAAAACTTTATTACACAAGAGCTCTGAGCGATCAAGCCTCATCACTGGCCCGGATTGAATTCCTTCTCTGGAGGCCAAGAATCCCAAGGTCTTTCATGGCTCAGCAACAACCTTTCACTTACCCCAGACTTACTTCATCAGAACCTATGGAGGTGGGGCCCAGCAACCTGGGTGTTCAAGCCCTGCAGTGATTCTGGCGCACACCAATGTGAGGACCACTGCTCTAGATGTGGCCTCTGCTTGTTCTCCCTCTGATACCAGATGGAGCTGTGAAAACTAAATCAGCTTCCAGAGTTTTCTAATGGGGACATTACTTACATGAAGCCATAGACTGCAGGGATGAAATCCCAGGAACTGAGAAGGAAGAAGGAGAGGCAAACGACTACCACTAGACTTCCCACATACATCATGGCATACTCCCAAGAGAAGATCCAAAAGGCTTTGCTCTTCACCTTCACAGGTATGTACTGCCGCTAGGAGAGAAGGCAGAATGGTACACTTAAGGATCTCAAAGACAAAGAGCAGTTATGAGTCAACTTTAACATCCTTCCAGAAAAAAAAACACAGGATACAGAATAGGTGAAAAATCTAAGGACTGAAAAGATATGCTAGGTAAAGTGAAAATGTTAGTCACTCAGTCATGTCTGACTCTTTGCAACCCCATGGACTGTAGTCTGTCAGGTTCCTCTGCCCATGGAATTCTCCAGGCAAGAATGCTGGAGTGGGTAGCCATTCCTTTCTCCAGGGCATCTTCCTGAACCTGGGATTGAACCCAGGTTTCCCAACTTGCAGGCAGATTCTTTACCTTCTGAGCTTAGGTAAACACTAACCAAAAGAAAATTAGTTTGGTTATTGTTACCAGATAAAATAGACTTAAAATTAAAAAAAAAATAGACTTTAACATAAAAAGTATTGTAGAGATAAAGATGTTCTATCATGATAAAAGTGTCATCAGAAAGATATTACAGTTCTAAACTTGTATGTACCTAATAACACAACCTCAAAATATATAGAACAAACACGGACAGAGTTACAGAGGAAAAATACACAAATCCACCATCAATGCATAACTGGTAGATCTAATAGACAAAAATCATAATGAAATAGAAATATGAACAGCACACTTCATGAACTTGTTCACATAAGATCTTACAAAACAAACACATTTATAATTCCATACATTGAGTCATATTTACAGTATTCTATTTATCAGAAGCAAGTTACTGGTTTTGATCATACTCAAAGGGACTGTTATTAACATTAGTCCACCACAGTTGATTTAACACCTGAAAAATCAATTAATGTAACATCCCATACTAACAGATTAATATACCCAGATCAGCTGCATTTCTATATACCTTAATGAGCAATTCAAAATTGAAATTAAGCAGAATTCATTATAGTGTAAAAGAGAAAAAATACTTAAAATTAACAAATGTTAAGTACAAGGTATGCACACTATAACATATGTAATAAATAAACTATAAAATATTGCTGATTGATACTAAAGATCCAAAGAGGTATTTAAAAAATACATTTATATAAAACAGTATGCTTGGAGAATTCACATTCATTTAAAACATTTTGCTGCTACTGCTGCTAAGTCGCTTCAGTTGTGTCCAACTCTGTGCAACCCCATAGACAGCAGCCCACCAGGCTCCCCCACCCCTGGGATTCTCCAGGCAAGAACACTGGAGTAGGTTGCCATTTCCTTCTCCAATGCATGAAAGTGAAAAGTGAAAGTGAAGTCGCTCAGTCGTGTCCAACTCTTAGCGACCCCATGGAGTGCAGCCTACCAGTCTCCTCCGTCCACGGGATTTTTCAGGCAAGAGTACTGGAGTGGGTTGCCATTGCCTTCTCCATAAAACATTTTGGGGGATTAGTAAAAACTGACCACAGGCACTTCCCTGGTGGTCCAGTGGTTAAGAATCCACCTTGCAAATCGAAACTGTAATCAGAAATCTTCCAGCAAACAAAAGCCCAGGACCAGATGGCTTCACAGCTGAATTCTACCAAAAATTTAGAGAAGAGCTAACACCTATCTTACTCAAACTCTTCCAGAAAATTGCAGAAGAAGGTAAACTTCCAAACTCATTCTATGAGGCCACCATCACCCTAATTCCAAAACCAGACAAAGATGCCACAAAAAAA